CCCCCCCGGCCCGGCATGGCGGAGGCCGCTCAGGGCCGCGTGCAGGAGGCGGTGGAGAACGTTGTGCAGGAGCTGGAGCGGGACAGCATCCGCGGCATGCAGGTACCGCCCGAGCCCTTGTGCTCCCAGTGCCCCCCAGTACTCCCAGTGCCCCCCCATTACCGCCCAGTGCCCCCTGCAGCCTCCCCGTGCCCCCCAGTCTCTCCCTGTGCAAGCTCTGCACGTCTCCCTTTGCGCTCCGTGCAAATTTTGTGCCCCATTCAGTGCATGCTGTGCTCCCCCCGCAGTGCACGCCGCGTGCAAGATATGTGCAACCCCCCCAGCTCGCCCCCTGCCCCTCAATCTTGCAGCACGTGCTCTGTGCAGACTTCGTGGCCCCACCCCAAGTGCAAGCCCTGTCATCCCTCCAAGCGCATGCTGTGTGTGCAAGATTTCTGCCCCACAGTGCATGCCCTGCACCCCCCTCTCCCCTTGTGCATACTCTGCGTGCAAGCGTTGTGCCCCTTAAATGTGTGCCCTGTGCAAAATTTGTGCCCCCTCCCCTCCAATTGCATACCCTGTGACTTCTTCATCCCCCCCCTAGTGCACACCCTATGCAAGATTTGTGCATCCCCCTTTCGGAACGTTTTGCGCCTTGTGTAAACTTGGTGGTACCCACCCTGAGTGCATGATGCTCTGCATACAAACTTTGTGCCCCCCTCCCTTCCCCAGTGCACGCTCTGTGTGCCAGCTGTGTGTCCTCCAGGTGCCTGCCCTGTGCAAAATGTGTGCAGCCCCCCAGGTTAGGGGCTGAGCTGCTGCAAAGTAGCTCTGTGAAGAAGGACCTGGGTGACCTGGTTGACCAGCAGCTAAACAGCAGTTGACCAGTGGTTGACTGATGGTTGACCAGCAGTTGACCAGTGGTTGACTAATGGTTGATCAACAGCTGACCAATAGTTGACCAGCAGTTGACTAATGGTTGACCAGCAGCTGACCAACAGCTGACTAGCAGTTGACCAGTGGTTGACTAATGGTTGACCAATATCTGACCAATAGTTGACCAGTGGTTGACTAATGGTTGGCCAACAACTGACCAACA